TCTAATTGTTTTACATTTCTACTCATTTGAGTTTTCCGGCCCATCCTGGTTTAGGCCCTTGTCTTTTTATTTATTATTTTGAAAATGGATTTGGGGTTTGCCCTTTCCTTTTTTTTTTTTTTTTAATTTTTAAAAAAAAAAATTTCTTTCAATCTTGTTTCATTTTTTTTGGCGTACAAGAGCAAATTAATTTTTATTTATTTTAAAGGGGTAAAAAGAAATATTTAATTAATTTTAGATCACTAAGTGCTTGTAGCTGTTTCAATTTTATGTTTTAATCTCGTACAAAAATGTATATTGTAATCCTTACACATGCACTTTTTCGTGGAAAGATTGACTATCGTCTGGATTTTTAAATAATTATTAATTAAGAGTGTGCAAAAAATTCAAATTAATCCAAATCGATCCGACTTGTATTAAAAAATTTAATCTATTTTGAAAAAAATCTAAACTGAATCATTTTATAAAATTAATTCAATTATTCGATCTTTTACAAAGTGGATCGGTTCAGTTTGGTTTAATTTTTTAAAAAACTCGACTATATATGAATAAAAAGTGAATAATTGCACCGTACTGAATCGATTCAATTTCAAAAAAATCGATTCATGTTTTAAAAAAATCAAACCGATCCACTTTATAAAAAATGGATCGGTTAATTGGTCCACTTTTGTAAAACGACTTAGTTCAATTCAGTTCGAATTTTTAAAAAAATCGATCCATTAACATCCTATTATTAACAAAGTTTAAAATCATCGTTAAATAATTGAGTTTGTTAAATATATAGTTATAGAATTGCTTTTAGGTTATATCTATAGAAAAGTATTTATCGATAGAAACAAAATCTATTTCAGTAAATTTTAGTCTTAAAAATAATTAGTCTATCTATCGATCGAAAATATCTTTGATAAAAACTAAAAAAAGAAGACAATGACAGTTTTTCTCCGTCAATAATTTTACTCTGGTGTTAGAATCAAGTTAGAATTGATTTTAAAATTTTTTTTTTCCGTAGAAAGTAAAACTTAAAATAGAAAACATTATAAAGATCAAATCAATAGTTTAAAGTTCTCTGAATTCTATACATGTGGTATATTTTATAGCAAACATCTTAATCAATCATTAACTCTCGAGGTCTCGATGAGGTCAGAATCTGATGATTTTTCAGATTGCGGTCCTGTGATTGTGACAGAATATTAAATTAGCTCTACACAGCTTATTGATTGTATCCAATAATCATAGAAGAATCAATTACTAAATTAGTATTTAAATGTGGAAATTTCCACTAATTAAGTACCTAAAGCTTCCGAAAGCTGCAGATAAATTTTACCATCATCGTCATGATTTTTTTAAAAATAAGATTATGTTATTTCTTTCAAAATTAAAATAATATACGAGAGAATAAATTTAAAAATGTAAGAACTAGCATAGTGTTATAACGCCTTAATTAAACAATGAGTGACCCAATTAGTTTATCTCAAAATAAATTTTAATGATAAGTTCAGATAATTGTAATAATTTTTTACACTTGTTAAGAAAAGATTCATATTCCGAATAGTGTGATTGAGTCCTAAATAGAGCGTTAATGACATATTTATAATCCGATTCAAGAATTACGAGGGTGAGGCTCAATTTCGAAATCATCGTCATGATTTATGTCTCCATTAATTTTGGAATAGAAAACTATAAATTGTTTCAGCTGCGTCCTATTAAATTCATGAATAAGCACAGAGAGAGATAGCCTGTGTATATATTCAATCAAAGTTAATTTAATAATTATCTTGTAGCAATTAATTTGTGTAACAGTAACATCTTCATCGTGCCAGGGATCACTAAATAGCTCTTAATTTTCTTGCAAATATTGACTTCTTTTCTGATGCAGCAAATATTCATTTATGAAAAATATTCTGTTTCTACTGGTTAGAATATAAATACATTTAAGTTATAGTAAAAAAGGGTTGTTAGTGGACTTTTATGTGTCAATCAAAAGCAAAGCAAAATGATGTTATTGAAAAGTTCACTACCACAGATCCTTTATTAGCAGAAGCTTTCTTTTACAAAAATGCCTCCATTTTGAAGGGTGCAGCTCCTTATCATTAATTCCTCACCCACCTTTTAGCATTACTTAATTTTAACGTTATAATATAAATAAAGTCAGCTGATATTATTAGAGTTACTATATCTAAAATATATTATGTGTTTGGTAGAGTATCATAATTTTTTCTTGAAAAGAAATATTAGTATAAGTTAAGAGAATAAATGTTTATAAACTATTTTTTATTTCATGATGTAAAACTTTTGAAGACATAGAAACACTTATGAATAAAGTAATGCATGCAATGGTCTTTATTAGGATGGAATTATGGAAGAGGGCATACGCTACAGGGAACCAAAAAATGGTCAAAAGGGACAGTGATTAAGTTGGAATATATATTTATGGTGATGCTTAGCGGCGTTGGTTGATTGTGCTTGCTAAGGCTATAAATAAAAGCTGGAATATATTTGCTTAGTAGCTACCAAAGCAAAGCATTAAATAAAGGTTTCTTTACATTGTCTTTTGTAATTGGCTGGTCCTCATCAACTAAATGGCCCCGATCAGATAAGATTACCATTACAACATCAGATTCAACTACAGTACCCTTGTTATTGGCCACACTGATCGATGCTGCATTACTCTATAATCCAACTGATGCCAAAGTGAGATTTCAATGATGGATGTGTGTTCTACACTTTTTGTTTGGCGGTGAAGAACAGTCACCTGGCTTAAATCATAATCAAAACTGATTGAGGTGTGAGGGACAAGGAATGTATACATGTCAATTATTGGTTTAGTTGCTGACAACAAGTTAGTAATAGATGTTTCAGATTTCATATATATTAACTTTATAACATTGGTTAAAATAAATAGTATTAACTTATATTTCTTTTAGAGATTGAATCCTAATTTTACGTATGAAATAAAATATGTTGAGAAAAAAATACTTATGTTATGTATATTTATAGTCTCTAATAGAGATTAGTTATTATTTAATTTTGATAATGTATATATTATTTCAATACTATAATTAATATATATATAGCTGATTAAAAAAAATTAATATATATATATATATATATATATATATTAATTCGTGATAATGTAATATGATTAAAATAGAGTATAGAATTAGATAGTTTTATTCATTTAAATTAGTTTTAAAAATTTTATTTGTGAGAATGATACCAAGCTTCACATTTAAAATGATCAATTTTAAGTTATATGACAAGTTTAATTACTATTTCGAATATAAGACATCACTTAAAATGATGAATTTTAATTATTTTACTCATATGAAGGACTTGTAGGTATACAAACAAAATATTAAAATATGTCCAAATATCATTGGTCGAATGTAAAATTAAAAATTTTAAAAAATTCTTTAACAGAAATCAAAGGCGATTAAAGGTTATAAAAGTTTTTGTGCTAAACAAATTCGTACTATATATTATTACTGGCATGAAAATATAAGCATCCAAATCACAAAACGAGTGCAAGTTTGCATTCGTTTGTTGATTATTTTTTGTTTTATAATTCACTAAAAATGGATTATTTCTTTAATTTTCTGTTTCCCGAAGAGCGATGCACCATTTATCTCTTACGTACGTCGTCCGTAACTAATAACCTCTAAGGTAAGCGCATATTCCGTGGTATTTTTATGAAAAGCAATGATGTTTATTAGAAAATACATCACTCTTGTCATTAATTTACTTATTATTATTATTGGTTTCATTTTGGATTTTACAAATCTTAATTAATAAGGCACTCCATCGTAAGGTTTACGACTTACAAAGTCATTTACATTTTGCTAGAGCGAATCTATCTAATTTTTCCATTTACAAGTGACAAAATTTAAACAAACAAGAAATTTTGCTGAAGATCATAATCAAGTTCATCTTTAACATACTTATTTTAAAATCTAAAAAGAATTCTACTTGTATATTTTCGTTATACAAAATAAATTCAATAATTGTTGTATGCTTTTATAAATAAAAGCATGTATTTAAAATTTTAAAAAGTTTATTGCAAAAGCAAAACTTCAACTAACCTTCACAAACTATATAGATATCATGAGGGAAATTTTCACTTGCAACCCACTTATAATCATGAATTAATTATGTATTTTTTTTTTCTTTCTTCCAATCCTCTCTAGTCTCTAACTCATGAATATTGAGTGTCCTTAAAATTTAGATGCAACGTTGAAAATTAAAGTAAAATAATACAAATCGGGACCAAAAATTATGATAACAACTTTTGCAACGTTGAAAATTAAAGTAAAATAATACACTCAGAAAAAAGAAGAAAAAAAAAAGGTTTTTTTAGAGAGAAAGGAGAACATAAGGTTATAGCTGGGGGAAAAGAAAGTGAAAGAGAATAAAAGGAACCTTCTCGGATTCAACGGATAAAGTGATCCCCAAATGTAGAATAAGTCCACTTGCAAGCATTTTTGCAAAGTATTACAATGATGATAACAACTTTTTCACCACAAGATTTGTATAATTAAAACAACGATGTTTTTTGCGTACGAAAACCTTACGAATGTGGATACGTACAATCAATAATGATTTAAAAGATAAAACAAGACTAAGAAAAATAAGTAAAGTAACTGATCATAATAAATTTTTTTAAAAAAATTTCTTGATACAATTTGATAATACATTTGACGTAAACCTTATCCGTTCGTGGTTCCCAGTTTGCTTAATTTTCTAATATTTCCACTAATACTTACAGTGCTATTTCTAAGAGTAAAAAACCCTTTTAAGATAAGAGTAATATTGTATGAAATATAATGTTCAAATGATAGAGTTCTTGAGATAAAGGGAAAACGTACATATATCTTTAGGTAAATTACTATTTAGTTTACTTTGGAGGGCCGTTAATAGCACGCAATTTCCCAACAAAAGTGAAGTAAAAATCTGTCTTTTTTTTTTTATATATTTTTTTTATACATAAAAGTTATATGTTGTCTCATTCCAAAAGGAAGGCACAAAATTCACCACACAATCGATCCTTGCTAGTACAAGTTCCTTAATTGTAAATCGTCCTTTACATTGACATGTTATCAATCATGTCTTCCACATGCAATAAATTAAAAAATAAATGTACTTAACTATAGTATAAGTGAAGTGTTACACATTGGCTTAACGAAGGAGCTAGTTAAGAAACAGTGGTCCTTTTTTGGTAGTGCTATTCGATTTGTCTGTGGTAGGCAGCTAGCGAGAATCAAATTCCTCTCAACACCTTTCGAAAATGATTTCTGATATTTAAATATATAGCTTCTAAAGTTTGATTGCACTCCAGCGTTTTTCAGTTTCCACGAAGCTTCAATAATTGATCACGCTAGCATGGCAATTCAGATCAGTTTGGTCCCGAAGATATATACATTAACCAAAAAGTAGAAAAAAGACTCTGTAGTATACATTCATTGACTCTTCTCCAACACACTTGGTGTAAAGAAAAAGCTGGTAGATATATACGAGAACAATAGCATTCTGACATCTCCTGACATATACTCTCTTTATCATTAGTTAAAGTTTATTAGAAATACAATTTTGCATGAACTTATTTCTTCGAATAAAAACTTGAACTTACATGCATGATACAACATATGCAGTATCTTAAGTATTTATTGATTCTTCGATTAGAATTAAAGTTTTATCACAGTAATGTATATTTTTTAAATTAAAACTGAAGTTTCATCTCAATATATATGTATTAAAAGATTTTATCAAATATCAATGCATATAATTATTTATTGAAATAAAATTTTAATTCTGATGGAAGATAACACAACAATAATTATATACTATATCTAAATTTTGTCTTATTCTTTATCTAATGACTATCATTTATATATTTATGTAATTTTTAATAAACTTTTACTAATAGAAAAATGTGTATCAGTGTTAGAGAATGATCAGTTATCTGTGATATTGATATCGGTTACATTACATTACATGATGGAGCATGCATTAACGTTGTCTTCACTGAAGAGGGACATGTACTTCTCTTCTGTCTCAGTTGATGCTGGAAATGTCTGGACATTTCTGACATAGCCAGCAGGTGCCCTTTTGTCATAGACGCCGGAGGCATGAGGATATGACACCACATGCTGTGGAACATAAGGCCAGAATTCAGCTCTCTTCTTCCCGGTTCCCTTTACCCTATTCAACACCTTGTTTGGATCAACACAACCATTCACTGTCACCTTGCTTTGCTTTCGGTTTATCTCCACAGATTTTACTCCTGCAACACGTTATGCATGTAGGTTATCTTTGTTTTATTTTGTATAGTGCACATTTAATACGTGGTTTTGGTAATAATTAATATATAGTTAATTTGTTGCAAATCAAATATCTCAAAAGCTTAAGAGATTAAGTAAAGACGTGAATAATGTGACAAAGTCGATCTTTTAAGCACGAAGCATGAATACTGTACATGCGTACGGACCTTGTACTGAAAATTTCAACTTCTAGACTATAAGAATTTAAATATATATAACCCCTTGATCATACTGATTATGATATATATCGTGATATAAATTAAATATCCAAAAATTTAGCTAGCTAGGCATCTAATATAGACATATAGATATCTATTAATAAAACTTGGATTAGAACCTTTCATTGTGGCTACTGCATTTCTGACTTTTCGTTCACAGCCATCGCAGTCCATTTTGACTTTGATCTCAACTGTCTAAAACGAAGACAAATATGTGAGGAATGAATGATACATAATAGTAAAGCCAAGCTAGCTAGAGAAATGAAATCAACGAATGAAGTTAAAAAAAGTGTGACAAAATAAGGGATGTATAAAGGAAAGAACAAAACACATGAAAATTGAGTTTTTAATTATATATGTAGTTGACATCGAATGAAATTCTTTATTTTGTATTATCAAAATATTCTGATTATAGAGAATAACATCATCAACAACTATAAAATAACATTCAAGTTTTATTCTTGAGGGAATGCCTACCTACCTGCATTGCTTTGGTCTTTGGTCTAGGAACTGTGCAAAAGTTGGAGATGATGTAGGTAAGTGCACCCATTTCCTTTCAAAAAAGCAAAGGCCAAAGGCAGGGAGAGTGAGAGTAGTGAGAGAGAAGACTCCACAGGCACAAATCGACACGCATGAGAGCGTGGTGTTTATATAGGAAACTCAAAGATTCACCAGCTAGATAGAGAGAAAGTTGAACTTCATTCCAAAGCAGTGTCTAGAACATTAAATTATATATTATCTATCATTATAATAAGAAGAAATAATTGAAGTGGACATGTGTGCCCATAAAGCTACATTAGTGGTTCATAAGAACATGAAAGATATATGCTTTAAAATTGGTCTTGTGGTGCCATGTTTTATTGAGAAAAAAAATGTTTCAAATCTACGTAGAATTATAAAAAGTGTTTTTTTGTGTTGTCTTTCTTTTCTGTCAATGAGTATGCCTTGCTTTTCAACAATATTCCATATACTTCCAATATCAATTCAACATTATACACTGTGATTTAAGGAAATCAATACATTAAAAAAATATTTTTTGATGTAAGGTAATGTATACATCTAAAATATCATTTATTATAAAAAAAATATTTGTTGGAAAATCAAGTAAGAATGGTTAGTTTCATACAAGCTATGAAATGGTGTAATGATATATATATATATATATATATATTGCTTAGCGGCG